GAGGCAGGAGACTCGCTTGAGCCTAGGAGTTGGAGGTTGCTGTGAGCGTGATGCCATGGCACTCTACCCAGGGGGATAGCTTGAGGCTCCGTCTCAAAATAAATAAATAAATACTTAAATAAATAGATAGGACAAACAAACCTCTTGTGCAGGAAAATCCCAAGTAACTTTTGTAGATACTCCCTACTGCCTAAGTGTGTGCTCTGCGTAGTGACTTCCTTCCAAAGAGTGTAATATGGAAAGGGGAGAAAAGAGTAACTTTACAGTGAAGAAACCTGGCAAACACTAGCTCAGCCACGGATCAAGGTTAACGTCATCCATGACAAGCCCTGTTTGTGACATGTACCCTTGATATGATGAGAATGCCACTTTACCTCTGTGGTCTTTCTCCTCAAATCCTACAGCTCCAGTCTGATCATGAGAAAAACATCAGAGAAATTCCAATTGAGGGACATCCTACAAAATATCTGGTATGTCTGACAAGTAATCCTCAAAACCGTCAAAGTCTGGCTTGGCGCCTATGGCTCAATCGGCTAAGGCACCAGTCACATACACTGGAGCTGGTGGGTTTGAATCCAGCTCGGGCCTGCCAAACAACAATGACAACTACAACCAAAAAATACCTGGGCAATGTGGCAGGTGCCTGTAGTCCCAGCTACTTGGGAGGCTGAGGCAGGAGAATCACTTAAGCCCAAGAGTAGAAGGTTGCTGTGAGCTATGACACCATGGTGCTCTACCCAGGGCAACAGCTTGAGACTCTGTCTCAAAAACAAAACAACAAAAAAAAAAACTGTCAAAGTCAACTAAAAACTGGGAGAAAGTCTAAAAAACTGTCCCAGCCAAGAAAGCCTTAAAAAGACATGACAACTAAATGTAATGTAGTACCCTAAATGCAATCTTGTACTAGAAAAAGGATATTTGGTAGAAACTGAATAAAGTTTGGATTTTGGTTAATATAAATAAATAGAATGATTTCAGTTTCTCCAAGGGGTTCTTAGAATATCTTGCATAGTTGAATAAGCACTGGCCTGGGAGTTGTAAACTCTGACATTTTGGCCTCTCTGCCATTTTATAGCAGTACAAGCATTACTTTGCACTTAATTGTTCTGTTGAAAATTAAAATTGGCGGCTCGGCGCCTATAGCTCAACCGGCTAAGGCGCCAGCCACGTACACCTAAGGTGGCGGGTTCGAATCCCCAGCTCGGACCTGCCAAACAACAATGACGGCTGCA